TGATATCTGGTCACCTAGTTGGCGATGTCGAATCACTTAGACTAGTGCTCATATTACAATATTACAAATTAGACACGGATCAGACATACACGATGTTGTTCACTACTCAGTGATTATTCAAAGGTGTTTAAGAAAGTAGTAATAATGTCATGAATAACTCTTTCCTAGTAAAAAATCATTACTGTAAGGCAAACAGTGTTGTAACATCTATTTATAAAATCATCGGTGTATTTGCTATATTGAATTGAGGCCGATTTTTGAACTTAAAATTTATAATTAAACACTTATACAGCTAATTTGTCTGTAATAATGAACTCTTCAGCATAATTACATGTGTGAACGTGGATATTTAAAAAATAAATATCATTTTCTAGCCATACAGGAAATAGCTTCAAACGATACTTTGTTTTATCCGAAGCTCAGCAGACCTATATTCTTATTTGGATTTTTAACAAGTTCTAATGTGGTATTTAAATACCTTTTCTTTTAATAAAAGTAAACTCACAGATTAAGGAACGAATAGCTCAAATTATTGATGTAAATATTAATTTCAATCCATATTAACATGAACAAATATGCACGTATCATAATGTGATTTAGTACCCTGTAGTGTAGCAACTAAAAAACAAACAAATTATTGAATCGATACTATGAGGTTGAGCGATCATGCTAGATATGTGACAGATAGATTTAGTAAGTACACATTATGATGAATTGATTTTCTTATCAGTCCAAGTCAAACATGGCCGATACACTCCTGTTTAATGTGTTTGATTTTTTTCTTGAAAATATTAATTTCCGTTAGTCATAATGTGCCAACGATTTAATCTAGTTTAACCAATTCATCTCCTATTTTATATTATACAACCCGAAAAAATACAAACCAAACCATTTCATTATCCCTAAACTCCGACTGAAGTGAGACATAGAAGTAACTGCAAAGATTCTCTACATTCTATTCAAGAATATTTGGGAGAAAGAAAGTGTTGATGGACTGGAAAGAAGGATACCTCGTCAAGATAATAAAGAAAAGAAACACCAATCACAGATTAGGTTTACAACAGAGTGTTGTCGAACCAGATGAAAGGTTCCGTAGATGTCCAACTTGGGGATCAACAGAATCAAAATTTTTATACGTATCGTTTAGTCCGACCAATTTCTTTGTCGAAATAAATCACAAAGTAATTATTAAATTGCATAAAACGGGTATAATTCATTTTAATTCTATTTGTTTTACCATTTAATTTAATACACTTACTGAGAAAAGACGAATTTTGCATATTAACCCTAAATATTTATTCAAATGTATGAATCGCAATAGAGATTATAAGGACCTAAAATTGATTCCATCTATATTTAAATATTTTGGACTTAGTGTACGGTTTAAAAGGTAAATTAACTACCGGAAGTGAAAAGAGCAGATTTGTTATATAACTAACACCAAAATATCAAGACAAAAGAAATAGTAACCAAATGTCAATTTTATTATTCTTAACTCCAGATTCTTCAGATTGCTTGAAAACTAAAAACGTTAGGAAAATAGAGCGATAAATTGTTGAAACACTTTATTTTCAAACATGTCATTTTATGTGACTATATTAATGTAGTGATATTTCAGGCGATAAGGTTTGAGGTTTTGCGTTTGAAATTGATCATTTTTGTACCATGTAACAATCGAACGTATAAAAATGTGTGTAAATGTCGCCGAAAACGATATACGAAATTAAATTCGTAATATCTAGTAACTTAGGTCATGTAATATTTCCAAAGCTAAATATTTTAACTATCTAGGTGTAATGATATGATACTAAATTATACTAGATAGTAATATGTAGATTTACTGAGAACATTACAATGAAACAGAGATGAAAACAGCTGAACTTCAGAAGCATTAATTTGTAATATAGGTTTTCGACGAGACTATAATTTATGGACGACCTTCGAACGAATCTTAAGTGACCATGAGAAATATTAGCCAATCGGCAAATAGTCAGTATATAGTAAAAAGATGTTATACAAAACCAAGGAAATAAAGTGGATACACTTCTTATACATGGTTGAAAAACTTAACATGGTTAGAAAGAGGTTCAGAGGTTCTAAAATCGTAATGCATGCAGCAGAGGAAATCATCCATACGGCTACAGAATAGTCATCCTCTGGTGCCATGATAGGGTCGTAAGAATTCCTTCAGTCTCGATAACATAGCTCCAACATTGTTTGTGTGCACTTCGGTTATTGAGTACACAAAATGCCACTTGTGGATAACGACACGATGCACATAACCAAGCCAATGTATGAGTCTGTACGCTCTCCAATCATTCGTATATATTGTAGTAGCTGGCTGCAGCCAGTGATACAGGTGCTTTTATTATCCAGCTCGTACTAATTGTCGTAATTCGCCTTAATTAGGGATTATATATAGGGTTTTCATCATGAACTGACATTACCTATAATGCCAAAACTATTTGGCCAAATGGATAAAAGGCTTTCGCACCGAAATCCGAGATTTGTTATCTTATACCTCATTGGTTCGTCCACAAATTATAGTCTCGTCGTTTTATTTGTTATAGCTGCTCAATTATCACGTTCCGTACAAAATTCCCTATGAATCGATCGTACGTTAGCATAAAGTATTGAAGTTGGTGCTGTGTCCTTGAAATCCCTCAAACGCTTATGATTGGCTCGTCCATGAATTATAGTCCCGCCGGACTTTCTTTAACATGAATGCATGATCATATAACAACATTTTGCTTAGATAAAAGTTATTCATATTCAAACTTGACATAAAGTAGAATTAACTTCGAAGGTTTAATGTTATTCCTTATTTTTTTATATTGTATAAATTTTTATTTAGCTAGTCAAGTACTTACTTATTTATCAGTATCACAGCTTAAAAGGAAAGTATCTCTGATAATTAAGCTAAAAATAATTTCCATGCTGTGTGGTAAGTGAAATGTAATTATCGAAATGTAGTTCCAATAATAAATGTTTTGTTAAATGTGGGCATATTACTTAACTAGAATTGGTGGATTACTGTTTGACAGATTTGATTCAACAATTAAACACTGAAACAAAACTTTCATTCTTATCTTGTTTAGTATATTTAATCAATAATTATATACATATATAGGATGCCTTCAAAAATATAGATAAACAAGACTATCTCGGAAAGGATATCGTTACATAAATAATAATCAGATGCCACTCTCTTGTCCAAACAACTATAACTTTTACGATCCTATACTAGAGCGAAACGGCCGTCTAGTGCTTCCAGGTTTCCCATGGTGGCCTAGCTTTAATTGACTCATGATTTCAACTAGTGAAATTTCTAAAATCTCCAAACAACCCCTTCTCATTTTACAATTATTGTTAAATATAATTTTCCACTAGATAAATTACATCAAGTTTTGATTTAGTAAAGTAAGTAGTATTAAGAAAATATATACCTAAATGCAGATCATCTAAACAATTAGTGAATATCTTTTTTTTAAATTAAGTCAAACTTAATAAACAGTTAATCGAGCAGTTTGTTCATCAATGCGAAAATTATATAACAAACATATTATTTAAATTAAATGAGTCTTGTGACATTTATGAAAGAGAGAAAGGAAACATTACGCAATCAAATGATCATTATGTACTATTTAAGTATCTAAGTAATCAGTAAATGTAAATCTTCATTTCTTATCTATAATAAGAATGTTATTTTATATGATAAAAAAATTTTATAAACAGTTCTTATAGAGATTATCAATCAACAAAGTTTGTTTTTTTGGTTGAGCGGCATTTTTAAAAATTTCTAAATTGAAGACAGTGGATTTAGTTTAATGAAAAAATCATACTTTCTTACATTGTAAAAGTAAAATAAACTTTGGTCAACTTAGAATATTAAATGATTCGTATTAGTTATTTGTAGATTATAACAAAGATGATCCCTAACAATGATTAGCCATTTGTGAAAAATGAAGTAAGTATTATGAATATATGACAAGATTGAAATTTATGCAATAAAAGCTTCTAGTCAGAACTGATAGATTCATGAAAAACAAGAAGTGATATTATATGAATAATGAATGCATAAACATATAACGCTAGTAAGACGGTGGTTGAAGGTAGTCAAAGGAAACTCTGAATCTGTATTTCATGCTACTTAGCACTCATCAGCAAGGTGTATCTGTAATCTTGACGTAACTCGTGTCCCCCGACGGATTCGATCCCATGTCACACAGCTTCACAGTCAGAGACGTTACCACTGAGCTGCCCAGGCCGCAACCAACAAGAGTCTAGGGTTTCCTGTTGACTATCTCCAACCAATATCTTATCTCAACATAGTGGCCACATTGCAGCTTGGTCGATAGCAATCGATCTGAACTAAGAAGGACTGACACACATGACATTTATCACCACGCTGTGATCACTCAATTATGATATAACGCTAGTCTTAGGAGACTCTTAATAACATTCTCAGTATATTGTGACTTTTACTTACGATATAAATATTCTGTAGATTAACCATCCTTTTTTAAAAAATATGTATTGACTGAATTAATTAACAACAAATATCCTATTTTTCAAAGATTTACAGAAAACAATTCTTCCTCAAAATCAGTACTATTAATGTGAATCACATATTTTATGGTAATTTTCATCAGTAAACAAATACTAGTACATAAGTTCTTATTTCTTACTCACATTTCAATCTTTTTGAACAAATCAAGGTTATAATACACTAAAGTTTTGTGAGATTTCAGTAAGAAACAAAAACGTATACTTTGTAAATGATAACAGGTGATCGATGATATCGTGATCTTTTAAAAAATAATTAACTGAAATCTATCTATCTACCTATCTATCTACTCACCTATCTATCTATATCTATCTGTCTACATATCTACCTATATATATATATATATATATATATATATATATATATATATATATATATATATATATATATATATATATATATAGTACTTTTAATTATGCTCATAATATATAAACACAGAAATTAGGACAAATAGATATAAATTCAATGAAACAATATTCTTTTCATCTATTCAATAATGAATGAATCAGTCTATTATTAATAATAATTTATGCTGTACAGTATTAATATAAATATAAATAAATATTGCTATGTACACTAGAAAAAAGTGTTTACATAAACAATTTATTACATCAAAATATAACATTCAATATACATCAACTAAATTAATATTATATAACTGGATGAATTCAAAAGTTAGTTAAATAATCATGAGTTGATATTATAGTTGTAAGACAATAATCTTATTACTTAGTTTATTGAATTTTACTACTTGTATATTATCAGAAAGGGTTTTGTATATTAAACGATTGTTTCTTTAACGTAATAAAATTAATATCAAAACGGGTTTTATGGATATGATAATAAATTCAATATTCACAGATTGAAATCATGAGTCAGTTAAAGCTAGACCACCATTGAAAACCTGGAAGCACTGAACGGCCGTTTCGTCCTAGTATGGGACTCCTCAATGGTGGTCTAGCTTCAACTGACTAATGATTTCAATCTGTGAAAATTTCTAAAAATCTCCACAAACCCCTTCTGATAATAAATTCAATGGTTGAGATCATGAGTCAATTGAACCCAAACTCATAATCTAAACTATTTAAATGACATTAAGCATACTATGTAATATTAGGCAATATTTTATAAGCTATTTTAAATATTGTTTTCATCATAAAATTAAATTTATAACAATATTGAAAAGAGCAAGAATAAGCATTCTAACAGAATAGCATGAATTCATTTTATTTCATTTGAGTCGTGTCAGCTGCTTACAACTTGTGCTATTTTAAATCATAATTACATAATGGGTTTAAATTACTTACATGAAACGGTTTAGTTGGAAGTTAGGTTGAAGACATATTAGTATAGTATAGCAAGGATATAAATAAATTTAACAAACAAATTTATTCCAACCATCTCCCAAACTAGTAATTTTATTTTATTAACTGAGCTCTACTCATTTTATTCCTGTCAGTGTTTACTTATTATGTAATCACTTGTTTCTGGCCGTTTGAACTGTTGTCATAATCATTGTTGTAGAATGTTCAGTGTATTGAATTTATTTACGTACTTTCTATACCATGCTAATATGTTTTCAACATAACTTTCAACTAAACTCTTTCATGTACGTAATCTAAACCCATTTCATAATTATAATTTTAATTATCATAGGTCGTAAGCAGCTAACGAGACGCAAACGAAATAAAAATGAATTCATGATATTCTGCTAGAATCTGTGCTCTTGCTCTATTCAAAATGATGAATGGAACTAAGTGTATGAAATTTTATACAATAGAAGATTAAAATGTTAATAGTGAATTTTTGAATGGTAATGTATGTTCACAATATGAAGTTCAGGATCATTTACTACTAAGTTAGCTAAAACTTAAGCTATTCTATGGTATTTGTTGATAGTCATAGAAGTTACCAACAAAATAAAATAAATGAAGAGTACTGATTCAACTTCTGATGCCTACATTAATGATATTTTTATTGAGTACACATACATTTAAGTGATTTAGAGTTTGGTATGTGCGTATACACGATCCCACATCGCGAGATACGAATCCAGGACCTGTCATTCTTGCGCGAGGGCGCTTAATTACTAGACCACTATGCAGACCGGCATCCGACGGTGTTAATATTTAACTTAAACTAATCCACCAAATTGAGCGACACATCCACCATTGTCACCAGCGAGTTACTACCTCACGACAGACCTGATTGAATTCCAGTGGTCATTGATTCTCACTAGAACTCCAGGATATACCTCTTGCAGCCAGTCACTAGTGAGCATATGTTGATTAATATCAGATTGGGTTTTTGTAGATATTATAGTAATGATATTTCAATGTCATTTTACTTAATTGATTAGGCATAAACCTGACAAAAACATAATTATCTTCACTTTTTTCAATGATATTGTAGGAAAATCATTTAAGAGATTTTGATATGACTGCGGGAGAGATAAATAGATTAAACAAACTAGAAAGGAGGTAATTATTATCATATTATTACTCTCTATTTAGAAAATATTCAACAACTCGTTTTAAGAAACACAGTGGCAAAAGAAATACAACTCAAAATCAATGTAATACAAATAAGGTTTTGAATAAAACAATTCGACAACAGAAGGATGTTCTGATAGATCGACCAGTTGAAACAAAGACGTGTAATAAACAGAACTTGGGGAAACCTATTAAAGGTTCTTCAATGTTTAATAGTTGTTTATTCTATTTGTATTTAACACAGACTATCCACTTAGATTCTTGTCATGTGAACCACTACAGGCATGTTCATTGTTTCAATTCACCGTTTGAAACATTTGAGAAGAACAAATATGTGACAAATGTTGGTGAGTAAATTATCAATTTTCTAAATTTTATAAATCAAAAGGATGAAATTAATTTTAGCATTTCAAACTTGTTCAGATGCGAATAGTTATATGATAAATATATGTCGTTATGCTTAAAACGTTTCATTTGAAAAGAAGACGTGAGTAGAATAATCCACTTTTTGGACATTTTAAGTTCAGTGTTGGAATCATCTGCATAACCGCTGAAAACACCAATACATTAGACAACGGAGCTCAATCATTTCAGGATTAAGAAGATTACTTATTACTAAAATAGGATGCTTATAATCTAGGTTAAGATTTTGAACTATTAGAATCTAACTCAATGGTACCAAAGTGAGTTTTTGATTAAATCCATGTGAGACCTTGTGTGCAGACCACTGTTTCATACTAGGATACAAGAACTGTTATCTTTCATCTTCTATGTTCTTTAACTTCACCCTAGTCATCTTTCGAAAGTATCTACTTGATTTCTCTGGAAATTAGTAGAACGTATAAATGCACAAACTCAATATTCGTGGATATCTTTTAATGGTCAAAAGATTTCATCCTAAAGCTTAATTCAAATCACCTTTAATAAGTATTCGAAATATCATTTAGAAAAAAGCAATCAACATTTTTTTATTAAAGACAATTCTTGATCTACATTTGAATGTTATGTAATAGTTCAATTATTCTCTAATCATTTTACTACTTAAGAGACGATGACGATTTTTTTCTGTTAATGATGAAAATCGATATTGTTTAGACCATATTCTAGAATGAAACGTAAATTGATTAAATCTCAAGACATTCCTAATAGTTTTAATTGAGCTTTGTGTATTAGATGGAGTAAATTATTTTTTCTTTAAAAAAAATTAGGAACAAAGAACTAGTTTATGTAGTTTTAAACCTACCAGTAGTTTAATTGTGCATATATAATTACAAATATATTTCAGTAAACCAACTAAACAATGTTTTTTTTAAGTTTCATTAATATATATTACTTCCTATAATTATGTCATTCTCAGATCATGCAAATCGATCTTGTTTTTCTAAACGTTATGAAATGAGAAAAAATGAGTAAGCAACAAAATGATAAATTTGTAATATTCTTAGTTTTGTTTTATTTAATATTGAGCGTTATTTGTTAATTTAAACCTTAGTGTATAAACTTATTTCTCTCCAAACTAGATTGTTATGATGTTGTTCAAGATAATAATCAATATTTCACAGTGGAATCATTCAACTTAAAGGATGTAATACAAATAAATGTATCCATTTACGATACTAAATTTAATTGATTTGTATTCTTAACCGTAGGAATAGCACTGTATTTCACTTCATGAAATATCAAACTTTCAAAATACATCACATGACAAATTCATTGGTTTCAACAATTGAAATCATGAGTCAATTGAGGCTAGACCACCATGGAAAACCTGGAAGCACTGGATGGCGCAGTGCTAAGGAGTCCCATACTAGGACGAAACGGCCGTCCAGTGCTTCCAGGTTTTCTATGGTGGTCTAGCTTCAATTGACTCATGATTTCAACTACTGAAATTACTAAAATCTCCACAAAACCCCTTCTCATAAAATTTGTAAGTATTGAAACTTTTGAATGATAAAACATATGATTAAAATATTTGGTTTGTTGAGGATTATGACTAAATATTAGTTTATTTTTATTTTTCATTTCGTTCAAATTGTTTGCTGTTATAAATGAATGTAAGATGTCTATATTCTCAACAGACAGAATAACATCAATATTACTTTTGTAGTGAACGAGAACAACATTGGGGACAATCATATGTTTTTGAACATAAAATTACAGAATGTTTTAATAAAATCTGAAAACTAGACAATACATATTTCATTGGCGAAACGTCAACCAATCATCTCAGACTTGATTGTTCTTCTATTTTCTTACCAATCATTCTCTGATCTTGTTCTATTTTCTTCAATCTTCTTAACTGTCTACCGTCAGGCATTCTCACTATCGACTGATGATACATACTACTTATATCTGTCGATATCATTGGTACACATCACACGATCGTTTAAAAATAGTCAACTTATTGCGTGCGTGGTTATTTTTAACCATTTAAAATGTGAACATTTCTGTTTTTTGATTGTTTGACTATCAAGTATGATGTCAAATATTTTTTAAAGGTTGGTTGAAATCAAAGATAGTAACGTTTTTGTGTGGTCGTGTGAATTATGAATTCATCAATGATTGACAATTAATTGCTTTTAAAAGTCATTAATTAACGTTATTCTTTTCTTTCTGAAAATAATAATTTGTGTTAGGTAATTTCGTTGAAAGAATAGTAACACATTAGAATGTGGCTTGAAGACACAGATAAACATAGATTTTATTTCATGACTTATTAGTAATTATTTTCATATCATCTAGTATTTAATAATGATTAATTGGCTTTCTGACTAAAAGTCAGAGTCACTCAAACACATGAGTTCATATACAATGTTAAATATGCGTCGTTAATGGATTATTTTAATCAAGCAACCTAAGTTCGGAGATAGCTGTCAATTTCTTCCAAACATCATAAATCAAAATTTGAACCTATTTAAAAGACATTAGTCACAGAAAGTCTCTACTGAGAACTGTACAGTGAAATAAATCACTTTGGCACTTCATATTTTTATTATTAATTACAGTTTATAACAATTTGATTTTGTTAATTTAGACTGTTTCGTTCAAATTAACAAAGTTAAAGTTCTAGACTCATCGTTATTTAACTGAAGATAATGGTTTAAATTGTAGATGCACAAACTATGACATTTTATGGAAAAAATGTGAATATGTGTAAACCCTTAATGTTACTTATGCCATTATTTAAAAGAATATGTTTTCTCGTATTGACAATCTTTATTGAACTTCGATCGGTCTTTGCCGATAGATATGCATCTTATGCTGATTGCTTCAATTTTTACAAATGTTTGTAGAGTTGATGGATTTGCGACTGTCAGTGAAGTCCCATTTTTGACTCGTTCGCCACATGTGTCTGCAACTAAGTGCTAGCCTTCCATGGATAACGCGTTTGCGGCTAGAGTTAGAAAATGCTGAGTCCGAGTACCTGGGTGGACATTTGATGTGTGATTCAACTTAATACAGATGATGAGTCCCGAATAGGGTGAAACATGTGTCCTGGATTTTATTAATAGCCATAAATATATCCATTGTACATTTTATGTTACAATATTTAACCTTCTTAATCATTCTTTAGCAATAGTTCAGTTAATTAAGGTTATATGTTTGCCAATGATTGTGCAGTCACAGGCGATGTAATTACTTGGTGATAATTAGTTTCAGTAATAAACACAAACTAAGCATGATATCTCGATATATCACAGTAACTACCAAGTATGTCTGTTCAGGGGATTCAATATTCTATTCTAGTTCAAGTAATCAAGTCTGAATTGAAAATCAATACATGTGCAGATGTAATGTCAGCCTTCATTAAAATCCATTAATTTAACAATACTGTTTTACAATATAATAATGTCAACATTGTTGAGTCGGCTTCCGGAGAACTTCACCGGAGCCTCCAGAAGCCCAAAAAAAGAGCCGAAGAGCCCTAGCCAATCAGAGTATGATGGAACGTTCGAGAATTCCAGTGTGGAGTGCTATCATTAGTCAGTAGCATAATATGACGTTAACGGATTGTCTGAAATATGATGTTGATTTAACGGACGCCAACATCTATAAATACCCTTGATTTTCTGTACTAAAATGAACCTTGGGATAAAGTATTTTCTCTCATACTTGTGTCTTCTCTCTGGTGTTCAAGTCGCTGTGTAGTTCCAGACTGCGGGTTAACAGAATAGCTTAAGAAAACGAATATAGCGTTCGGTCGACGAGACTTATCAAACATGATATACGCTCATTGGCTCAATATGATGGCACTATAATGATAAACCGAATGAATAAGACTATTTACGGAAACATGATATTTTTAATTTTGACAGTCACTTGCTCCGTTATCAAATGATCAATCACTTGTCACTATCCAATTGTCACGACACTTCGTAAAAGTTTGCTTTAAACTGAATTATTGACGATAATACTATCGTTAAAAGATCATAACACTTCATCAATTACCATCAAAATACTGTAACAATCTAATAATAATGGACTACTTCAAGTTAAAGCAAATATGGTTTATCATTTTCATCTCTTGTTTGAGCCTACATCAATTAAAGTGTATTTATTTTTTTTATCCCTATAACTATTCCGCGATTTAGATGAGTGTCAAATATCTTTACTTATCGTAACTATCTCTCTCGATTGAGACGAGTTTCAATAAAATACACATGAATTTAATGATTAAAATACACAATGTGTAAACGTTTTCCAGGTTCAAATTAGCTTTCATCACAGATAGGCATCCGCTCTAACTTCATCGAAAACTAGCAAACGTTGGACAACATCTTGGGTTCACTTAAGAATTTCTTTGAAGGTAACCAACCACGAATCTACAAGAATTTTAATACAGGATATTCGAATAATCTGTTCAGTAAAATACTTCTAGATTAATTGTTCTAATTTTAATCAGTGAAGTTATTTTTACTTTCTTGAACAGTTTTGTGCAGTTTATATAGTTACTCTGTTGGGGAAATAACTGATTTTCTTGCATCCAACCGAACCTATTGAAGATAAGTGAAAACATAATTATCTGAAATGAAGAGAAATTTCATTATTTTATAAAACACCTCCAACACTTATCTGTCGTTTATAATAAAGTAGAAAACCTTTAAAAAAGCTTTCATCTTAAAATTGTGTATCTTGCATCAAAGTATAATTACATCATATCTATCCTGAAATGTAGTAGTCGTACTGATGAAAGTAAGAAACTTCGCTTATTTATATCCTAGTTGAATGTTGTTTATATATTCATAAACATTATAACGTGGCGATATTTGATTAGTAGGAAGTCATTATTATTTTTTAGTAGCGTGATAAGAAATGATACGAAAAAACAATCATAATAGTAGTGATTGTGTAACGTCTATAGGTTGTGAACAACAGAGAAAAAAGTGTAACGCTAGTGTGGTGTGTGCTACTTATACTGACATAAGTAGTGTATGACGTTACTCGTGAACGAAGGTCTGGTAGCAGAGAGACAAGAGGATCAAACAGTAAAGAATGGAAACAGAATGCAATTTGTATGAATATTCAAGAACAATGAAGTCTGAGTCATTATGAGGCAACTGATGGGCATTTTGTAAATTACGTATTTACTATTTGATTGTTAGATTTTATTAACAAGTCCTGTAATTCTGAGTCAAATACATTGGATTGTCCCCACCCGTGTTCTGTTCACTACACTAGTAGTGTAACAATCCATTATGAAATGCAAAAACACAAACATGTTTGTCTTATTGATAAGAAAGTAGATATCATGTTGAATAAGTTAAAACTTGAACTAATCAGGGGAATATGAAAATATTCAAAAAATGGAAGATATTTCAAACATGCAAATAAATGGGATGAAACTACAGGTGAAAGCTTATGATTTAATGGCTTACAATATTACATCTTATATATGCAAATGTTGGACTTCATGAAATTACACTTACTGTTAAACTACCAAAACTGACCAACTTTGATCGGTGACATAATCGTCTTCACCGCACACTATTGCTCAGTTTTGAAGCTGAATAAAAACTGTATTTCAAAAGGTAACAGTAATTTATAAAATTCTGTTGCATTGCAAATTATTTATAAATTAAACACATTATTCAACTCAGTGTTATATATGAGACTTTCTTATTTCTAAATGTAAACGGTTTTACGTTGTATGTCAAAGTTCAATGCATTTTACTAACTTACTCTTAGATGTTCATTTGAAAAACTGAAAAATCTATGGAAACAACAATTTGATCAATTCATTCTGCCTGTTCCAACAAGACGTAATACTGGTACAAATAGAACTACATATACAGAAAAATCTACTATCACCAATCAGAAAAAGGAAACCCTCGAAATGTCTCCTCAAGTAAAGAACCCATCAAACAATCAATCCGAAGAGATCAGTCAACAGTTAAGCCTATCCAAATCATTTAGCTCCTTATGCTCTTCGAAATATGAAGTTAGAAGCTATCAAGATTATGGTGAAAACTTCCTAAAAAACTTTGAAGATAAGTATACATTTAGTGATTCATCAAATTTAACTGGATCAACGATTTACCTATATTGTTCAACATGTAGTCAGATTTTCTCATGCAGAAACATTGATGAATTAAAACAACTGAATTTACTTGAATCTAGCTCATCTTTATCTTCTTACAACTTGACCTCTGAGGACGAAGATATCGGTACGTTATGAAAAAGGAAATTGTTGAATATCATAATATCTAAACAATTACTGTTGAATGGATAATTTAAATTAAAGATTTAAACTGTAATTGATTGTCAATTAATTTCAAGAACTATTATTTGCATCTGATAGATTAACAGGGTTAATTTGGAAAGCAAAGTTTAGTCCATAGAGATTTTACACCATCCATAACATTGACTGAGTTGTTCAATGTCTTGATGCTTATTTAAAATAAAATATGAAAGCTAGGCATGGTTTACTGATGTTTAGTGTTGAGATACAAAATCATATTTTATTTAAGAGAAAGTAATAGAGTTCATAGAGTATTCAACTTGATGCAATGAGTTAACAGTTGGGACTACATTTATACATTTCTTTCATCCAAGTTTAAATTTTCTCATTTAAATGTTTATATTAACCTGAGGTTTTTTTTTTATCTAATTTTGTTTTATACTTTTTTATCTCATAGAAAGTGAGTTTGTTTTCGACGAATCATTTCCATCATACTGGGAATATATGAACCCATCATATGAATGGATCAAATCTTCACGTCCTGTTTCTGCACCACCAATATTGACTTATTCATCAAAGAAATCAGCATAACAGTTGAAACAATAAACTAATTCTAACCAATAACTTTTAATTTCAGTTCATATTCCGCTAACTTATGAAATGTTTCTTTTTAAAAAACCAGTAGTACTTCACGCAAATCCATTTAGTTTTTACTAAAAATAGTCTATAATCCACTATTTAAAGGGTAAATTATGAGATATTATTTTGAGTAATGTAGGTGCAAAACTGTACGATTCGCAACTCTATACACCATTATATTATCAAGGATAGTGATAGCAGGTGAGATATTTCATTCTGTAAGATAGTTTTTTTTAAAATGTCATTTCACATGACGTTTGTTTTACAATAATACCAATCAATTATAATATGAGTCTACATGATTTGAATGATTACAGACAGCATGTGATTATTCAAAGATGAGTTTTGTGATAACATTCACATCGGTTGAACAAAGTGTACACAATTTAGCTGTCTTTTTTAACCAGGATATTTCAAGCAATATTAGGTCCGAAAAAAACATGATTAATATACGCTAGAAAAAAATCAAGTAGGATATTTGTGTTATTATTAATCAAAAGGCATTTACAAATTAACATACAAAAATTATATCGAAACAACTGATTACTATCATTAACCAGTGGTTAAATTAATGAAACTTTAATTGCATCTTATTCATAACATTTAATGATTATGCGAAATTCTTGTCGATGGAATTGTCATCCAGCCTAACATGTGAATAGACATAGGAGCAGTATGACATTTATTGTGATAAGTGTGTAGAAAAATCAGGAGTAAACCTATTACTACCGTTTGTACAGAACACATAGTAATACTCGAAGTTTTTATTTCTATATAACTATTATATATTACTTCAGTGATTATTCTTTCTGTTAAAGTTAGCGAATTTATAACAATTTCACTGGTTTTATGCTAACAAAGATATAGACTTTACGGCTGCGATTACTTCAACCACTACTTTTCGAATGCTTGTTAAAGTCATTATTCAAAACAACGCATATCCAACTTATTTGATGAGAAGATAGTAGCTTTTCTTGTTATATTACAGCTTAGACTTATCCATTTAACATTACGTATAATGAAATATACTATATAATCATTACGCTTTATTTGAATTAGCAAATGGCAACAAAACTTAAGCAGAATGAAGTTTATGTCTAATTAAGGCTGTTTGTTCAATGTAATTAAGAACAGAATATAGAAAAAAGTTATTTTTTGATCAACATATCGGTATCTTACTTTAGAAGTTATACTGAATTGAAATAACAAACTAGGTTATTGTACGGTTGATTAACTCATCCAAAGATATTCGTTATTTACTTTAAGAAAGTTTTAGTTCATTATGAACGTTCAATTCAGTTTTGAACTGGATATTCATGGAAAATGTTTTGTTTTATTTAGTTCTATACTTTCAAACATTAGCTGACACCAAACATATGATTATGTTAAATTAAAGTACAATGTTAATTAACTCATTTAATCAGCTGTTCGAAAATTTTCTCAGTAAACATTGATATATTTTATGAACATTCAGTATCATGAGAATATCCAGTGTGGTTCTGTTTATGAATTATTTACATTGTTTAACTGTCCATAATATTAATTCATTTAGAGAAAATTGTCAACAAATTTTCAAACAATTTTTAAGTCAGTTATCTCTTTTAACCTTGAAGTAACCGATATTTTTTTTCTAAGATCATTTTATTAGCAGAAAAAAGTTTTGTGGAGATTGTAGTAACTTAATAATTGAATTCATGAGTCGATAAAAGCTAGATCACCATGGAAAACCTGGAAGTACTGGACAACCGTTTCGTCCTAATATGCGACTCTTCAGCGGTGCACATCCACGATCCTACATCGTGAGATTCGAACCCAGGACCTATCAGTCTCGCACGCGAGTGCTTAACCACTAGACCACTAAGCCGGCATCCAGTGGTGTTAATATCTAACTTTAGATAATCCATCAAATTGAGCGACACATCCACCATTATCATCAGTGAGTTACTATCTCACAACTGACCTGGTTGAATTCCACTGATCACGGCTTCTCACTGGAACTCCAGGAAATACATCTTAAAGTCAGTCTCTAGGGATCATACGATGATTATTATCAGAAAGGGTTTTGTGGATATTTTTAGTGATTTTATAGTTAAAGTCATGAGTCGGTTAAAGCTAGACCATCCTGAAAAACCTGTAAGCACTGGACGGCTGTTTCATCCAGTTGTGAGACTTCTCAGCGGTACACATCCATGATTTTAACACCGTTGGATGGCGGCCTAGCGGTCTAGAGTTTAAGCGTTCGTGCATAACCGAAAGTCATTTTATTAAATTAATTTTCATGTTTTACTTTCTTATTTAGAACATTAGTATAGTAATAAGTAAACGTTTTAGATCAGATAGGCTTTTGAAAGATTCAAAAGTAATTCACATGATCATTAGTAGAAAAAAGATGAATTCAATCGATTTCCACTAGGAACATTCCCTTGCAATAACATCTAGTTTATCATTAATATGTCCACTGAAATAAAATCGTAATTTTGATACGCCAAAGTAACACACTTGTAATCATTATTTCTAAAAGGTGAGGAAATCGAAACAATCGATAAATAAATAAAATAAACTTACGGTGTATATATGGCAAACGTTTGCAATGTACTATTAGAATATTTTATACAATCGAGAAAGAAATTAAATCATAGGTTGCAGAAAGCTAGAAAGCACTAAGATATTGAACAAAGAAATATATAGGGAGGAACGTTGTCATAAAGGTGATACGATTTATTTGATGCTTCTATATCAAAAATTCATAAAAATTTCAAAGGATATCAACTGTGATATCAAAGAAATACTTTTCACGAGGTCTTATATGTTGCTTCTAATATACTTCAGATTTTATTCGCTTTCTGACTCATTAACACTCTACTATAAACAATCACTAATCGTATTAATGGTTAAACGGAGCATAAATCTTAAACTGTCAAGCTTATTAAGTAGAATTATATAGTAATACACTCTAACGGGCGTATTTTTAAAATGCTAGTTATGTCTCGTCGAAACGGTGACTTATTTATCGCAGATTCCTCAGGAAAAGGTCTATTAATGTGGGTAACTCGAACAGAGCCTAAGGTTTTCCTAATTTTAAACTAATAAACCGAAAAATTAGATCTTTATTGATTCGGTAAGTTTCTACCTTCGGTATTTTAAATTTATTATTTTGAAGGGTAAAGTGGGGTCGGTACAGTGTAGACACAGGAAGGTTAAAGGAATACCTCAGTTTCAAAAATTTCAATAGAAAAGCTAAATGTTCATTAAAATACTATTAATAGTCCTGGTCACCTACAGTTGAATGAAAACTCAATCTTACATCGTATTATTTAACGGAAGATGTTAGTACTACTCATTAGGACAAACTCAGTTGTTCTTGACATGTAAACATAAAATATTAACTTCGGACTCCGAACTTACTGTATATCTTCATTAAGACTTTTGATTTACGTTTATAGGAATAACTTTAATAAGCTGACATTTGTTAATCAGGGAAATACTGTACAAAGGGATTTAAATCTTGTTTTTTCGTCATAGGAGAAAACTGTATGGTATTTTAGTCTTTTGGTGTCAAACATCACAAACCATTATGCGTTAAATGTTTCAACTTTCAAACAGGAGCTCCTTACATAATAGTAATATCACGTTTTACATAATACTACTTGCTAATAATAAGTAACTCAACAATAAAAACAAATGAAAGATTTTATAGTGGCCGTAAACAAGAATGGTGGTTGATTAACAGTACATCAGCCCGAGACACATGAAACACCATACAAAATAAAATTGTCACTGGAGTGAACTTATACAACTATCAATCAATGTTGTTTATTCCTAGAATCGATCAGTGGAAAGCTCACCTTCATAGTCTCTGTACAACATTGATAAATATTCCTAATTTAATATACCAAGTTCGTGAAATTTATCATTATAACTTTGTTTTATTTTTAAATCATTTTGAACAAAATTTCAGTTATCAAAATCAGCTTTAATATTCTAAACATTATTTAGCAGAAATTTTTATTTTAGTCAAAATGTATTGTGAAAGCATATGAAATACATGATTAGTTACATAAATGACAAATATTTTATTAAGAACTAGGCAAAATGTAATTGCGCCATTATTTCTCTCACCCTATTTGACCCGTATATATTCTGATCATGGGTCTTAAATTTCACTTCACAAATATGCAGATCCAAGTTAATATTTTATATGAAACATATCAACATTAACAATTTTATTGTATATTGTTTAACAATCCTAAATTCATATGCTTTAAACGGTGTACTTTACCCTTAACCTGACCATTTTTCCGATTATTAATTTGGATATATAATTATAGAACCTGAAGAGAATTTATCAGAAAGAATACTCTTCGTTCAAATATTAGACTCTTAATATGATGGGGATCTTTAGACGATAATATAATTATTAAACTATTTCACATTAAGTATTTTCTATAATCAATAAATGAAACCTGCATAGGTAAAATATCATTGTAATTTAATTGTTTGTTGTTGGAAAAACTGGATAACATGGACATTTCAGATAATAAATGCACATTAGTAACATAATTCTTCTAAACTAATAAAAGCACTTTACATCTTTTAGAAACTTCTACAGACTTACTAAAATAACCAAATACTAAATATGATCAATTCATAGCTGATTTTCAACACAGCACGACTGACTAGCTATTTTAATGAGACTATATATATTATACATGATGAAAGAACTTATAACTAATACATTATTCACTAAAATACTTTTAAATGAAAAGTGTACACGTGTATAGTTTAGTTTTCTTGAATAAAATAAATTTAATCAGTTGTTTATTACAAAAGAAGCAATTTATCTCAAATTGCAACAGTAATGCAGTTCCGGAACAAAATCCAAACGACCAAATATGCTTAACTCTAAATCTTTTGAATGTTTAGGTGTGCAGATTCAGGTAATTGACAACGTCACTAAGAGTATCATAATTTCTGAAATTGTGATTGTAAAATGTGATCGATAAACGAACCCACCAATAATAAAGGGAAACGCCCACCACCACATTAACTCCTTTTGAC